GGCAGCTTCCTCACAGGAAAGTTCTGTTACTATGGAAACCTGATGGGGTGGGGGTGCTGCTGGCAGCTGGATGGACTTGATGGCAGTGGGCTTGGTGTGGGCTCTGGTAGAAGCATTTGCTTCTGATGCTTTGGCAGAAGAGAGGACCCTCACTCAGATGGACAGACAGCGTTTCAACAGTGGGCATATGCACAGCAGAGACGGTGAGGAGGTGCAGGCCTGGACAGGCGTTCATTCTGCTGTCCATGAAGTCAGACCTGACTCTACCAACAACAACGCTGCCTTGCCCGGGGGCACAACAATGGAACCTTCAGTTGCTAACTCCAAGTCCAGCAGTTTAGAGCCACCCAACACCTCCACAGGAGAAAGGCCTGAACTTTTTGGTCTCATACCTTACAGCCGAGGAAATGGCCCAGTTCTGCTCAGTCATGTGGGGTCACTGTGAGGTGGGAGTGACTTACAGGCACCCAACCACCACCACCACCAAACAACCTGGACAACCGCTCTGCCCACCAGAGGTCATCTCTCCTTCCTACACGCTGCCATGATGTCCCTACCTCCAAGCCCCCCAGCCAGCAGCCGTGGCAGTCTCTGGAACTCAGGGCAACCAGGCGTGCAGTTTTCAATGACTAGATTTTTAAGAAGTGACTGCCAGGCCTTTCCTCTGAAGCACCTCCAGGGAGACAGGAACCTCCAATCTTTCCATTCACACATGAGTTTGCTGATGGTTTGTACCCCACACGGGGGGCTCACCATGCTCCATTATCACATGTTCTCTTTCTGCAGACACACTGTGCGGACTTCAGAGTGACTTTTCATATTCTATGTCTTGTAAATCTGATGGTAATGGGTTTGGTTTGTTGCTGATGCAACATCTTGCCAAGGTCAAATGCAACGAGTTACAAAATTACCCTTAGGACACTTCTCCCTGAGTGCTGAATAGTATTCCATTTCGTGAATGTTCCGCAATTTTCTCTATCCATTCAGCTGTGGTTGGACATTTGGGCTGTGTATTCTTTTTTACGTTTAAACACTTGCATCGAGGACCAAGCCACATCTGAAAATGTCCTCTTCTACCAACTGTACTTTAACCGTCCTATCTAATGCTCCAAAGCCCACAGTGATAGACAAACAAGTAGGATGTTTCTCATTTAGACATTCTCCTTGCATAAAGATTTACAGTTTCAGAAACCGGAGCTGGCAACTCAATTCCTCATAACTCGATTTACATATAATACTTATTTATCCCTTCAGGGTCATCTCTCCTGCCTTCGTGTTTTTCTAGAGTTGGTCAATCCCTTCACCCAAAATTTTATTGCTGATGGTTGACATTTAAAATCTACTTTTTCACCTACTCTGTCTCTTAATTACAGGAGGAATAAGACCCTCAACGAGATGAAATGGCACAGTGACTATAACAATAGGCTAGAACCTACTGGAGATTGTAAGGATGGCATAGGATCGGGCAAGAGTCAAATCTATTGTTCATAGTATCTTTAGGAATTATCTTTACATTAATTGCAATGCACCTAACAATAGCAATCCGGTATAAATGGGCTGTTTTTTATTTTGTTTACAATCATGCATGAGCTGATTGGACTTACTGCTCTTAGCTAATAATCAGCTGTGGATTGGAAGCCTCTGGTTTAAGTCACAGGCCTTTGTATTTAAAAGTCAGTTGGGCCCTATGTCTCCGGGTTGGAGGCTCATGTGTGAAGCAGTTGGATCCTGGAGGGTAGATTCTCTTGTTTTAGTTGAAAGTCAGGTGTAAACTGGTTGGTTGGTTTTTATTTCTTTCACAATCATGTGTGAGGTGACTGGATTTACTGGTGTTAATTATTTGGAAATTTTAAGCGGTACAGCACTGGTCTGTCAGTTTGCTGTACTGAGGTATCCTGGGGTTGCTGTGATGCTGAACCCTGTGCCACTGGTGTGTTGAATGCCATGATAGTTACACGTGGTGGACAGTGTTTGGTGGAGCTCCCAGATTAAGACAGGCTTGGAAGCAGGATTGGAATCCACTTCCTGAACAACATGCCTTTGGAAACTCTATGAACGTTAGAGAAATGACAATAGAGAACAGAGCTCAGATCTTTTTTTTAGGGTCGTTATGAGTTGTGCTCAACTCAACAGCACTTTACAACAACAACACTTCACCTTTCTTTCGCAGGATGTTTCCAGAACCACAAACAAAAATCTAAACAAAACAAACAAAACCCAAAACAGCCAAAATATCAACTCATCAGTATCATCCAAGGGAAGAGTCATGTTTGACCTCAATCTACCAACTGCGGTCGCAGGAAGCATGAACTGACAGACAACTTCTGTGCAAGGGGCTTCACCCCACAGCTGCTGACCATCCTGGCACCGAAGCACCAAAGGGCACTGGAGGGAAACAGAAACACTCTCCAGATTGACGATGCAAACCCAGCACGCACTGCACACACACACATACATGCACGCCACACACATGCAGACACCCCCCTCCCCACACACACATACGGCAGACTGGCCTAAAATAAGGCTGGAGAGGCTGTTCTCTGGGGACTTGAGACTAGTTTTTCAACCACATCCTGCCCAGGGAGAAGAAACACAGGAAAAGGGCTTCCACTGAAGTGTGTGCTATTTTCTTTCTTTATTACGAAAAGCCTGGCCCACTCATAGCACCCTCACTATCTGAATAGCTCTGCGGGGCAGTTTTTCCCCACTTGCCTGGTTCTTACTGTTCCTTCCTTGCCTTCTGAATGGAAAATAAAGTCTTAAAGCAAATCTTCTAAAGCTCAGACTTTGTTCCCAAACAGATGTGACCTCTACCAAGGCCCACTGAGTAAGGTCAAGGACAAGTCCCTCAACCTCCTCCAGAAAGAAATCCCTATCTACTTAACGCTGGAATGTGAACACTATGGACTTCAGAGGAGGAAATGACAACAGGTAATGCACAGAGGGCTCCAAGGCTGCCCATGGATTTCCTGGCCGGTCAGTGCATTTGAACTAAGCGGCCTCTCCCTTGAGCTGAACTGCCTTCCCCTCAGGGGAGGAGGTTTCATTTCATCAGAGGAAGCAGGCATGAAACCAAAATCAGTGATCATGAACTTGCTTCCAGCTCACGTGACACCATGTGTGTCAGAGAGGAACTGGGCTCTGTGACCCACGTGTCAGAAGCAAGTCACCAGGCCTTTCTTCCGAGGTGCTTCTGAGTGGACCCGGATCTTCGACCCGTCAGTAAGCGCTGTGTACGTTACTGTTTGCACACCCAGGGGCTCTAGGGCGCTCTGGAGGCCGAGTGGGGAAGAAGCTGCCAGCTGCTCTTTGGGAGAAGTCCTCCTGTCTGATTTACAGCCTCTGAAAACCCGCTGGGGGCACAGCTATGAGTGTGTTCCCAGTTGATGGCAATGAATTGCTGGTTCTGTTGTTTTTAATTTTATTTAAATTAAGAGGTTTTAGAGGATTTAGTTTAAGGATTAAGGAGCAAGCCATGATCCAAACCATAGTACTTCTGGTTGCTTTTAGACATCTGAAACTTGAACAATGACTAAAGATGCCAGAAGAATCAGTATCTTTGAGTTGTGATGTCAGAGAAGAATGCAGAGTATTTCACAGACGGCCAAAAGAACACACACATCTTTTGGGGGAAATGCAACCAGGGTGCTCCTTCAAGGCAAGGATGGTGAAACTTAGTCTCATATACTTAAGGCCTGCTGTCACGAGGGATCAATTCTTGGAAAAAAGACATGCTGGGAAAGAAAGAGAAGAAGACTCTTAACAAGACAGACTGACCAGTGACTGTGACAACAGGCAGGGGCATGTTGGAGATTGTGAGGACGGCACAGGACAGGGCCAGGCTCAGATCTGTGCTCTACAAGGTCACTGTGACAGTTGGCTCAAGGGCACATACAACTAGAGGATTCTTTCACCACACACTGATAACTTCTCCCCCAGAGAAGCATCGATCAGTGTCAGGACTGGAAAGACAGGACTCCACTGTCCACACGGGACACTGCTTGATTAAAGTTGTGAAGGCTTTCATTTTATTCAGATCCACAATCAACACTCGTGCACTAGTAGCTAGGAAACCGAATGACCTCTTGCCCTGGGCAAGGCTACAGTCTGGGACCTCTCTGAAGTGCTACGACTCTCCCATGGTACATCATATTTTACAGAAAAGTTGTTCCTTTGTGCTGCATAGTGAAATACAAGTGAAAGATTGTATAAAGCATAATGTATGTGAACAAAACGAAGTGTATGAGTTACTGTGTGCAAACTAATAAAAAATGAACAGGCACACCAGTTTAAAGTTGACTTGACTGTCCCAAGTCACGGTATTTTCAGCCCCTTTATATACACGTGAAGGTTGGAAATGAAGGAGGAGGAGAAGAAAGGTGGACGCCTTGAACTGCCGTGTCGGGGAGAGGACTGAGCACACGTGGACGGTCTAAAGGAGGAACGAATGTGTTTAGAGGAGGTGCAGCCAGCGCACTGCTCAGAGGCAGCAGTGTGGGCTCCAGCCCGTGGGCCTCGGGCCTGTTATCAGGAGGGCTCTTCCTGGAGAAGCAGAGGGTCAGCATAAAGAGAGGAGACCGGCAGTGAGATGGATCGGCTGAGTGGCTACAACAACGGGCCCAAGTCCCGCAGAGACCGTGAGGCTGACACAGGTTCAGCCAAGGTCTCATCCTGTTGTGCTTCCGGGTCATGGTGAGCTGGACTCAACAGCACCCAACATCTAGGTGCTTTAGGGAGCAGCCCGCCAGAGGGACAGCCCCAGATGACCGCTCAGAAGACTAGCTGGCCAGGTGACAGCCCCGATGACCACTTAAAGGACTAGCCAGCCAGGGTAGCACCCTGATGGCCACTCAGAGGAGCAGCTGTCCAGGCTGACAACCTGATGACCTTTAAAGGACTAGCCAGTCACGGTGACCGCCCGATGACCACTCAGAGGAGCAGCCGGCCAGGGAGACAGCCTGAGGCCGCTCAGCAGGAAGCTCGCAGGGGACGCGTCTTACCCGGCAGTCTCTCTGCAGTGTTTTCATCAGGGCGTTGTAGGTCTCCGTGTCGAAATACAGCCCCTCGTGCATGTCCTGCAGGAAGTCCAGGTCCTTGAAGGTGGGGCTGGGCTTCTCCCTCTCCTTGCGGGACGCTCGCCGCTTGTACGTGGAGCCTTTGAGGTCGTAGGTGTAGTGCATCCGCAGGGCCCGAGGCAGCACGTTGTTCATCACCACGATCCGGATATTGATCCCGCCGGACTGCATGCAGTACAGGCCGTAGAACTTGGGCAGAAGAGTCCTGGGGTTCTGGTTTAAGTTCTGGAAACAGGTAAAGGGAAACCAGGTTTAAAACCTCCCACGTTCACAAGGCCGTGCTCCATAACAGACTGGTTTTTATCCTCATACTGTAATTGAAAAAAGAGCTCTGGTGGCTTAGCAGTAAGCACCTGCACTGCCAACCCAAAGACACGCGGTTCGAATCCACCTCCCGTGTGGTGAACTGACTCTGAAAACCTGCTGGAGGGTCAGCTCTGAGTAAGTTTCAACTTAAAGGTACACAACACTAATAATTGTCTTTCTTAATGGTCACTGCAGAAATATTGCTGCTTCTAATTAATCCCTCAAATCTATCTATGGAAACAGAAATTTCACCCCTCTAAATTCATTGTGTGAAAAATGGCTGCACTGAAAATAGAGATAATCCCTGAATTTGCCCCAATAAAAAGAGCAAGTCTTAAAAAGCAAGGATGTCACTTTGAGGACCAAGGTATACCGATTTAAACCATATCTTATACGCATGCAAAAGCAGAGCAATGAGAATGAAGACCAGAGAAGAATCGGTGCCTTTGAGTCGTGGTGTCCCGGAGGAAATGCAGCCAGGATGGTCTTTAGAGGCCAAGTTCAGTTCACCTACTTTAGGCATGCTCTCAACTGGGGGAGGATATATATGTGTGTGTGTGTGTGTGGAGAGAGAGAGACAGACAGACAGAGAGAGAGAGAGACACACAGACAGAGAGACAGAGACAGAGAGAGAGAGAGAGGCACAGACAGAGAGACAGAGAGAGAGAGAGAGATACAGAGAGAGAGAGTGCGCAGTTGGCCTAGTGGACAGAAAGCCATGTTCCAAGCCAAATGTGGGTGACTCTACTCCATGGCCCTCAGACCTGCCTTTAATTTTTTTGGTG